GTAATAGAATTATTACTATCATTACGAAATATATTGTTTACATTTTAGAATTAGAATTAAAATAAACCCTTTGATTTTGCTGATCACTTTAATATAACATATATATATATATATATATATATATATATATATATATATATATATATATATATATATATATATATATTGCTATGAACACACAAAGGAACTAACGCCATCTAGCATCAACTATTAAAACCACTAAAGAATAAAGACGACATAAAACCCCCTATTCAACACTAGATGGCGTTAGAGGAACATTTTAAGATAAAAAAAAGATGGCGCGTAACGGAAAAATGTTACACTAAATTTTTTTCCAACCCCGATAAAGAAGTTTCACTTCAAAAAGAAACAAAATTTGTAACATCCTATACAACTTCAACTGCATGATTCATAAATTCAGAGACTTTTTCATTGGTTGCCACAGTGTCGCATTACTAGCCTTTCCTTCGAACAATATGTTTTGTCTCTTTTAAATTCATTCAACCCATTCATATGCTTTATGACCTTTACAAATGAACTTTACGTTACAGTTTTATACGTAAAGGTGTTCTAAAATTCTTTGTTTTGGAAAATTTAATAACTCGGTAAATATTGATGCTTAAAGAATGTAAATGTTTAATACAATTTTAAAAAGTTATCCTCTATATGTGTGTTCATTTATTGTCGCGATTGTAAAGACACGCTGTATATGTTACAGTATTGTTTTAAAATAAGTACTAAGTAGCTGTAAGTTTCCTAATAAAAATAAAAGATGGCAACGCATTTGCAACCCTATGGGTGTTGCTAATGTCCGCAATGAACCGCTAACTCGTTTGCCACTTTTTCACATAAAAAAAATACAGATCAAAATTTACGTAATTCCTAAAACTTTTCATAAATCATATATGAAAAGTACCGAAATAGAACAAACAGTGCGCAGTCACTCACTAGTGAGGGGTTCTCCTTGACCCAACATAAACCCCGACCAATTTATGAATCACGTCATTAGACCAAAGACTTACTATACTGCATTAGACGATTATATTCAATGTATCAATCACTTGTTACCTATTGGCTTAATTAGTGATGTCGAAAGTGAAGAAATATAAAGATATCTATAAAAATATCGGCATTGATACATCGAAGATAATATATAGATATATCGGATATAGGTCCTAGAAACCCCTTTGTCCAGAAAAAAAAGTATGTGAAATATTAAATATTGGACACCTACGGACTCTGTAAAGTAACAGCCTATACATGTCCCACTGCTCGGCAAAGGCCTCCTCTATACAGAGGGTATCAGGGCATAGTCCACCACGCGGCCCCACTGCGGATTGGTGGACTCCACATATTTTCGAAATATATACTTTTTTTGTTATTATTTCGAAAATATGCAGGTTTCCTCACGATGTTTTCTTTCACCGCGGAGCACGTGATAAGTCAGCACTTAAAGTTAAAAACTTCATTGGTGCCGGCACCGGGGATCGAACTCAGGTTGCTCGAGTATATTGAATTAAAGGCGAGCGCCCGGACACTGAGCTATCACGGCTCTCTGGCGACTCTGTGCCGGATTCGAATTGGAAAAAAAATCCTATTTGATACGATTTTTGATATTGAATATTTTGTATTGATATATTGAATAAAACATCGATACATACAGCGTGTCGTTACCATCGCGACAATAAATGAACACACATATATAGGATAACTTTTAAAAATGGTATTAAACCTTTACATTCTTTAAAAATCAATATTTAACGAGTTATAAAATTTTCCAAAACAAAGAATTTTAAAACATCCTTACGTATAAAACTGTAACGTAAAGTTCATTTGGAAAGGTCACAAAGTATATGAATGGGCTGAATGAATTTAAAAGAGACAAAACACACTGTTAGAAGGAGAGGCTTGTAATGCGACGCTGTGGCGCGAGTTGTATAGGATGTTACAAATTTTGTTTCTTTTTTACTTAATTAGTTTGTTTGAAAAAAATTTTTTTTTAATTATGGATTTTGTTTAACGTTAATATTTTTTTTGATTATTGGTAAGTAGCGTTAGACGTGTGTTAATTTATTGTCGCGATGGTAACGACACGCTGTAGAATCGGCGAATCCAACTGGGATGGAAGCGTTCGGGAAACTACGGGAAATCTTCTCGTCAAATATACCTCAATCTTTGAAGACTAAAGTCTTCAATCAATGTGTGTTGCCAGTGATGACCTACGGAACCGAGACGTGGTCCTTCACTGCTGGCCGTATGGGGAAGCTCAAAGTCGCTCAGCGAGCTATGGAGCGGGCTATGCTCGGTATTTCCCTGCGTGATAGAGTTCGTAACGAAGACATCCGCAGTAGAACCAAAGTAACCGACATAGCTCAGAGAATTAGCAAGCTGAAGTGGCGATGGGCCGGCCATATAGCTCGTAGAACCGATAACCGTTGGGGAAGAAAGGTTCTCGAGTGGCAGCCTCGTACTGGTCATCGCAGTGTGGGACGACCCCCCACTAGATGGAGTGACGACCTGTGCAAATGTGCGGGAAGTCGATGGATGCAGGTGGCTCAGGATCGTACTTCGTGGCAGTCTATGGGGGAGGCCTATGTTCAGCAGTGGACTCAAACAGGCTGAAATGATGATGATGATGATATAAAATCAAAAATATTGATATATCAATCTAAAACGCTTAATTAACTTGAGCGGATTCAAAATTTGTGTCTTCGATTTATATTTGGGCTTCGTAAATATGATCATGTTTCCGATTTTCGTAATCAGTTCAAGTGGCTCCCAATCCGCCTTCACAGGAATACCCATATTCTCTCTGCTTTGTACAGCGTGTTGTTTAATCCCTCTACTCCGAAATGCTTAAAAGATCGCTTCGAGTATCTTTCCTTATCCCATGAAAGGTCCCTTCGTTCTTTCTTCGCTTCGGTCACAGTTTGTGGAATTCTTTGCCCTGTCACATTCGACAAGCTAAAGTCACTTCTTTCTTTTAAAAACCTATTAAAAGCTCATTACTTAGACCTGTTAACTCATGCTTTCCCTTTTTCCTTTCCTATTTCTCCCAAAAACCTTTGACTATCTCATTTATATATAAGTGATTCATGTACACCTCCCTCTGCTCTCTTCTTGAAGTCTCATTAGCAATAATTGTTTTCGCAATGGTTGTCTGCAAGAAATCGCTTTCTGAGCGATAAGACAGCCTATTGTACTTCCTTTTATATTCATTTGTAATTTGCTTTTTATATAATCATTTTTATTTTTGGTTAACAATCAAGTATAAATATAAATAAATAAATAAAACGCTATCGATGTTGTGTCAATTTTTCTCCAATAAGAAATACTGAGTAAAATTAATAGCTAAACTGTTTACGGAAATAAATACTGTGTATATTACTGATTTAATAATACTATTACAGTATAAAAGTATAAACTGAAATACCAGATTTTTTCAGAATCGTACTATTTTTTTTGTAGTAACCTTTATAAGGAATACGATACTTTACCCAGCACCATACGAACTCTCATTCACGACAACTGCCAAAATTTTAAGTAATGAATGCGATAGTATCGATAGTATTCAAATTTCCTTTAGTTTTAGACAAAACCCATCGATACAATCGATAGCCTCAATAGGTTTGTACTATCGATAGCCAGTAAAAGGCTATTGATAGTACAAAATCACCGATAGTATCGATAATTTTGTACTATCTATAGCCTTTGACTGGATAGTTTTTGGTAAGTACTAATGGTTTTTGCAATACTATCGATATTATCGATAGTATTACTGTATCAATAGTGTTGGCACATTCTATCCGTAGTATCGACAGTATTCACACGCGACAATACTATCGATAGACTATCGAAATGCTACACTACTTCACTTTACTTGGTACTTGGTAGCAGTAGCAACACTGATATCTATTGACTGGATTATTTTTATTATTATTTATATTTAAGTTTAAATTTTTACAAACTCTGATAGAATAGAATTAGATCAATGGTTTGTAGTTTGTACTAATACATAATTAAAGAAAAATAATGATTTCAAAAGTGTTCTATATCTTAACCTTACAAGATACAGGCTATTGTTAATAAGTAAATCTTTTCTTTATGGCGCGGCGCAGCTGGACATAATGAGATTAATAAGTGGCGGTTACATACTAGTACCTGCTTCTTTCTTCCTTGGTTATAATGTATTTTCGAATGTGTATGTACCTTATTACTTTAAAGAAATTTACAAAATTAAAGCGGTTATGTGAATCTCCACAAATCACATTGCTATTTCACATTGCTACAATTATTTCTATTCTACTTATGACAGATGTAAAAAACAAATGCTTATTTATTGTTTTTTTTTTCCATTTTAAATTAAACATTGCAAGTGACTGAATGGGTCTTCCTGGTTCAAAAGTTTTGAAACAAAAAAAAAAAAAAAAAAAACAAAACAAACCTATTTGTTTGGACATGTATCATAAAAAATTTCAGTACCATTCATTGTTGTCATGCCTCTCGCATTGAAATCCGTGGTAGCTCATTGTCTGAGCGATCGCTTTTTATTAATATACTCGAGCAACACTCAAGTGCTCAGTGGTGAAGGAAAATATTGTGAGGAAGCCTGCATAGTTTCGAACTAACAACCAGTAAAAAGTGTTTCGAAGATATGTGAAGTCTACCAATCAGCACTTGGTTTGCGAGGCGGGCTCTGTCCTAATACCCTCCGAACAGAGGAGACCTTAGCCCAGCAGTAGGACATATCTTACTTTATTTTTTACTTTATGCCTCTCACAACCATGACGGTATTCTATTACGAGAGTTAAAATTATTAAAATTATTGTATAACTAAACAAAATATATATATTTATTTTGTATATCATCCTGAAATTGTGTTAGATAAAAATGTCAATTTATGAGAGTGAAATATTTATGGCATATTATACATACAAATCAAATTATTCTATGTTGTTATAGATAACCCAGCTTAAGACCATCACATAAAGTTATGAAAAATGGAGTATGGAGGTAATTTAGTAGCTTTCAATTTGTATTATTATTTTCAATAAAAACACTAAAATATAAGTAAACATTAAATATGCAGGTTTAAATTCAAATGTGTATGTATTTAATTCATCAATCATTTGATTCATTGATTTACTTTTAGCTTCATTAAAATGGGTGTAAACTAAAACAAAACTCATAATTTAAGTGTGAAGATAACAATTATGTTATTATTGTACCTTTGTTTCACACACTGTCTTTCAAACATGTCGTAATAATAATGAATATGAACTGTAGTTTGATTGAATATGTTACAGATCTATTGAATAATTACAATCATTTTAGAAAACTGACTCTAGCTTATCTTACATAATATATATGTATGGATCATACTATGTTACTTTTATATTACTATTTTCAAGACCCTCTAGTCTGTAATTTTTTTCTTTTTTTTTAAACACTGCCTTTACTTTACGTTATCCTAAAGTAAGGACAGTGTTTTGTGTCTATGTGAAATTTATGTTTGTAAAACATCATTACAACACAGGATAATGTTATCATCCACCCCAAAAAAACTTCCAGATGCAACAACTATCTGTGGATCTCACAAATAGTTGTCCGGTGTGGGGATCAAACCCACGACCCCTGACGCCGAAGCCAATACGTTAGCAACTGTGCCACGGAGTCATCAATTTATTAGGGTTTCAAATTATTATCGTTATTGATTTTTCATTATAAAGAAAAATTAACTTGCATATGACTTTTTCAGATGACATCTTTGACATCTCAGGGCTGCACTTGAGTGGTAATTTCGACTCTCAAGTGCAACAACTTTTGGAATATATAAGGCTGACAAGGGCAGAGGTGGAGCATTTACAGCTTTTGTTTGATGATTTGCAGAGTACTTTGCAAACTGTTTGGCCAGGTATAGTTTTGGACGCCTATATAAAAGTTCATTGGACAATTTTTAGTTAGTTACTGTGTTAAGGCCATACAGTAATTTCTGCTGTTGCCCGAATGGGCTGGCTCATCCAGGGATTCCACAGAAGTACCACTGCCACAGAAGACAAGCATACACACAGTCTTCTGTGAGATGGTGTGTATGCGGTGTGAAATGTGATAGTGTAGAACACTATATTTTCGCATTTCGTATGGTGAGTGAGATAACTAGTCTACTTTTCAGGTGGTAATCTCAGCAACTGTCACCCCTCAGGTGTAGTAGATGTGCATGGGTGGCTGGTAATTACTTAACATCAAGTGAACTGTCGGGTAGTTTGCCAACTATTCACATTGGTATAAATGATGCCGTACCCATTTCCCTGTGTAAATATTCTAATCGATAGGCTTATGTAGACTTATCTTGTGGTTAGAACACAACAGACGTTCACAGGCTCACCCATGAAAGTATCATGGCTTCACTAAAAACCAATTAGAAGTGGAAGTATTATGTGTTTCGTCTGGTGACTGAGCTAACTACAAAAAAAAATGGACAGTCACACTTTTTCAAAACATGACAAAATATATTAAAAATCATGGATATGATAGTTTTTCTTAACATCAGTTGAACTTCTAGCCCTCGTCCTATCTTATGACGTAAAAAGAACTTCAAAATGTACAAATCTGAAAAAAAGAACATGTTTGTTATGGACCTCATGTCTTAGCAAGAAAATCTTTTTTCAGGTTGCCAAGTCCATGCATTTGGATCTGTAGTTACAGGACTGGGAATAAAGTCAAGTGATGTAGATTGTTACATTAGCTTGCCACCTTGGCTTCAGAACCCTGGTGATACTTATGTAACAAAAGCCAAAGCAACTCTCAGGCGAAGGCCAGACATATTCACAGAGTTATTCGCCATCACGGGAGCAAAGGTTCCAATAGTCAAATTATATCATATCCCTACAAACAGATACTGCGATGTTAGCTTTAAAAGTTCATCTGGTGTTGAAAACTCCAAACTGCTGGCATATTTATTGACTTTGGACAAAAGAGTGTTACATCTTGCTATATTAATTAAGTATTGGGCTAAAGTACACAAGCTTGCAGGAACTAATCTCATGCCCAATTATGCATTAATTTTGTTGATTATATTTTATTTACAGCAAAAAGCAATACTACCACCAATATATCACCTACAGAGAAATGTAGAATATTTTGTGGATAATTGGAATCTTGCATTCCAAGACATTATGCATGTGAGCGGAAACAATGACTGTTTGTATAAATTACTTGGTGGATTTTTTGAGTACTACAGTGATTTTAATTACGACGTCTTCATCGTCTGTCCGTTTTTAGGACGGCCAATTAAGAGGGAGCTATTTCAAAGATTAGAAAATGTCCCACAAGAATATAAATTGTATCAAGTGAATGTAAAAAGACATATCACACAACCGTTAAGATTAAATAGCATAATTTGTATACAGGATCCGTTTGAGCATAATAAAAACTGTTCTGTTGCAATGTATCCAAAGTTGGTGCATAAAACAAAATCTCTATTTAAATTGTGCGCAGATATTTTCAGGAAAGAAAATAGCGAAAGTTTCCTGGAATGTATTTTATCTGCAGTTGTCGAAGAGCCCGCTATTGCAAATAAAAACCGATGTCTGCCGCATGGAGTCTTTAAACCGAAGGCAAAAATTAATAGAAATAAGTTCACAAAAAAACTTCAAAAAGCGGTTAATCAAAGTATACACAAAAATCTAAATAAAAGTTAGTTATAAATTAATAAGAAAATAATTGCTGTGAAAAATTAAATAACCGTTTACACAATCTTTGAGATATTATGTAAATATTGTCTCCTAGAAAATAATCAATATTTAAGAATAAACCTTAAATAACTTTAATTTGAGACTGTTAATAATGTTTTATGTAAAACATTACTACTTACTCCTTGGATTTGATTATAAGGATAAAACTAAATAAGCTTTGTTATATTCTGATTTGTGAATAATTAACAATCTGATTGTTTTGTTATAAAATCATTAAACATTTTTACAAACCTCCTACTGTTATTTAATCTCACTGGTTAATACAGTATTATTGACATGTGGTTATTTTACATTTGATATATGTATTGTGATAATTTAACTGTACAAAGCGTACGCTAGGTTCCACGCGTTCCAGGGCGGTTCTCACCGCCCCAGCCACCGACTAAACAAGCATAGTCAACGGCCATCGGGGTCACGGTCCACACCGAACCTTGATGGCCTATAGACGATATGTCATGATTAACGCACGCACGAGTACATGCGCGGCCCTAACCACTGAGGAGGGCCTCAAACCCGTGGGTTCTATCTAGCCCCACCAGAACCGTTGAATCCGTTCGATGAAGCTTTAATAGTCTAAGGACTGAAAGCGTAACATCAATTTTACAAAAAAACAAACAAACACTGAACTTAATCCAAATGTCTATGCAGTATACAGTTTATTTTTTTAAGAGAGGTTTTACTCCCTAGTTCCGGCTGCTGCCTTTTCACATCCTGTCTTGCAATACACGTTCACTACATGTTGTTCCACCCCGCTACACACTTGGACCGACCTTTTTTTTTTTTTTTTTTTTTTTACGTGGGAAAAATCCTTCATGTATTCCCCGCTGCCTTGTGGGTAGGCAGCAGGGGTATGTGGGAGTTACACGTACCAACTAAAAAACCTACGTTGCACCTGCGCTATCGCTTTGCCGGGGACACGGGAACACGAGAACGCAATCTTCCGCGAACCCCGGCGCGACTGTGGCCTTCTCAGGCCTCCTCTCCCCGGGTGTTAGGGACACCCGGTCCAGCCAAATGGTGCCGTGTCGGTGCAATGAACACGGCACCCCTCTCAAGCTATCCGCGGGGCAGCAGTTAGTCCCACATCCGCCGCCCCGGGGCTTGCTATCAGGGGGGAAGGTTGCGCGCGTACGCCAGCCTCCTGCGCCCTGGTCTCCGGCGGCGGATTTCCAGGGTGGTAGTTGCCTCCCTTTCTCCGCGGCCTCCTTCCGGGTGATTATGTCCGCGCAGAATGCAAGGACGGCACCCCACGACCTCTCGCTGTCCACCATAGCGCGGACCACGGCAGGCAACGAGAGATCGTGCCCCACGATAGCCATCAGCTCTCGGCGCTGCTCCCGCCAGGCTGGGCACTCCTCCAGTGCGTGTTGGGCCGTCTCCTCGGCACATACGTCGCAGTGGTGGCAAACCGCTGTTGGCTTCCTCCCCGCCAAGTGGCACAGGTACCTCCCGAAACAGCCATGTCCCGAGAGAAACTGCGTCGCCCGGTAGGTAAGGGTGCCGTGACGCCTGTCCAGCCACCGACTGAGTACCGGACGTATGGCCTCTATGGTTCTTAGGCCGGCACTGGGGTGCTCCTGCCTCTGCTCCCACTCAGCAATAGCGAGTGAGCGCAACCTTTAGTCTACACCCCCTCAACTCCTCTAAGGCCGGCAGGTGGCACCGGGCTATCGCCTCCTCGCACCAGAAGTGCAGCGACGCGAGGATACTGGCTTCTAGATCCCAGGGAAGGGAACCTGCCAGCGCGCACGCCGCCTCACCGGATATCGTCCGGTAGCCCCGTATGGCCCGTACAGCCAACATCCTCTGCGGTCTGCGCAGAAGCATCAAGGTCCGGCGATTCAGGGTGTCGGCCCAGACGGGAGCACCGTACAGGGCCATAGACCTTACAACCCCGGTGTATAGGCGGCGGCAAGAGTCGTTGGGGCCGCCAACGTTCGGGAGCAGCCTTCCGAGAGCTGCCGCTGCTCTCGCCACTTTTGGAGCTAGGCGCTCGAAGTGGGGAACAAAATTCCATCGGCGATCCAGGACTAGGCCAAGATACCTCATTGTCGGCTTGACGTCGACTCGGACGCCGCACACTATTATGTGGGCGTCCGCAGGTGGCGCATTCCGGGGCCCATAGAAACATAGGGCTTCGGATTTATTAAGCGCCACCTCTAGCCCCAGTCGCCGAATGCGTCCCATCACGTGCGCCACACTCGCGGTGGCGAGAATAGCCGCTCGGTGAAAATTGGCACCGCGGGCGGTGACAAGGGTGTCGTCAGCATAACAAGTTACCTCGACACCCCTGAGGTAGGCGCCGCGCAGCACCCAATCATAGCCTACGTTCCACAGGAGTGGCCCTAACACCGACCCCTGTGGAACTCCACACGTCACCTCTGTGGTCCCGTAACCGTCCCGGCACGGGTACATCACACGTTGGTGCGACAGATAGGCCCAATGATGCGGCGCAGGTAGAGAGGCACTCCATGAAACCGGAGCGCCTCCTTTATGCAAGCCCAAGACAAGGTGTTAAGAGGCGATGTCAAGAGACACTGCCAAGACGACCTCACCCTGGGAAACCGCCTCCTGCGCCAGGGACCTCAATCGCAGCACCGCGTGAATGGTTGACCGGCCCCTGCGGAACCCAAACTGTCTGTCCGCCAAATTCGGGCCGACGCGCTCCAGGTGCTTGACGATGCGGCTGGCGATCACTCTTTCGAAGAGCTTGCCCACCTCGTCGAGAAGCACTATCGGCCGATAGGCGGACGGGGAGTCGGTTGGACGCCCTTCCTTCTGGATGAGGACGAGTCTGCCTGTCTTCCACCTCTGTGGGTTATTGGCTTGAGCCAGACAGGCAGTAAACATCGCCCTCAGCCTGGGCTCCAGAGCGTCCTCAAGGGCCGGTACCCATGCTCGACCGGGATGCCATCGGGACCCGGGGCAGTGCTCTTGGCTTTCATCTTTAAAAGAGCCGCACCGAACTCGCCCGGAGTCACCTCAGACACTTCTATGTCCGGGTCAGCGTCATCCGTGTTTGGTGGAACCATCGTGGGACGTGTGGTACTCCCTCTGTGGAAATAAGGCCGCGGCGATCGCCGATACTAGTTGTGGCTGCAGGCTCTGTGTCAAAGGGGGGGCCCAGGGGCGAAGTTTCCTGTACGGCCGCCACCAGGAATCACGGTCCAATGCAGCCAAGAACTCCTCCCTGGCAACGGCGATCGCGCGGCCTATCCCCACCTGCAAAGCCATCTTTGCCGTTCTGAAGGAGGCGTACAGCTCAGCCTCTAATTCAGTGTTCCTGCGCCGTCTTTTGCGGCATCGAGTATACTGGCGTCTCGCGGTGACGCACGCTCTGCGCATTTACGCAAGTTCTGCAGACCACCAGTATACCCGACGCTTGGGCGGGAGGTTCCTGGACCGGGACATCGACGCATCGCAAATCTGCGTCATCGCGTCCCTGAACCATTCCACTTCCCTCTCGACATCTAAACTAGTGGGCACAGGAACCCAGGACTGTACTATTGCCGCCTCCTTCAGGATTTCGTGGTTCAGGCTTCCAAGGCGCCACTTTGGGCCACTGCCTCTCGAAGTCCAGCTTGGGCTAGTCAAGGCATCCGACAGGGCGAGGAGATTGAACCGAATGTACCGGTGATCAGATAGTGTCTCCTCGCCAACAATCACCTTCCAGCCCCGAACGCGGCGTGCCAATTCAGGGCTTGCGAAGGACACGTCCACTATAGAGCTGCCCTGCCATCGCACGCACGTGTCCACCGAACCTCTATTGAGGACAGACAGCCCGACCTCCAGGAGCCATTCCTCCAGTACCCCACCACGCGAGTCTGTTACAGGGGATCCCCACGCCGAAGACTTGGCGTTGAGGTCCCCGGCGACCAGCACGGGATAGGGACTGAACTGCCTGATCAATGACCCCAGACGGTCTAGGTAGCCCTCAAACTCGGCTAGCGCTCTGTTGGGGGAGAAGTATACTGCTACGACCACAATCTCCCCCAGCTGAGCTGCCACGAAGCCTGAACCTCTTCTCACATTGGTGAGAGAAGGGAAACCCGCAGCGATCCTGCAGACCACTGCCGCAGTGCCAGAAAGGTCCCCGGCCCAGTTGTCACCAGGCGGGACGAAATACGGTTCCGACACTACGGCCACTTGTATCAACCACTGCGCCATGGTCTGGAACATTAGGTCCTGAGCCCTGGCGCAGTGATTTATATTCGCCTGCAGGAATGATATGGTGGCCATTTACTACTGTATGGCCATCGGTGTCCCTTCCTCCCTGGCCTCGGTGGCGTTTTGGCGGGTTGACTGACTCTGGGCTTCGTTCCCAGTGACGTCATTTCTTCGACTCCTCTTGCCATTCGGTTTGCAAGAGGTGGTGCAGGCCTTGCTACCCAGCCTGTGGCCAGCAGGTTTGCTCGCTCCGGCGCACACCAAACAGTGTGGTGTTGCCGAGCATTGAACAGATGTGAGGCCTAACTGACCACATTGGTAGCAGGAGCTGCTCCGGTCAATATCTGCAGTGCATTGTTCCCGGACGTGCCCCAGTTAGCATCGGTAGCACCG